TGTCAGGGGTTCTTTTTTCTTTTAGTATGTAAAAATAATTTTTCTCAAGTTCCCATTGGCTGGGAAAAATCTAGTGCTATTTCTGGTTACCTCTTACTATGAATCTCTAGTTCCCCGATACTCTTAATTACCCTAGGGGCTGAGATTCCTCCCTCCATGCACTTCTCTCTTCATTTGCTCTACCATTAGGACTCTTTTTTTTTATAATTATTACAAATGACAGATACACCGAGAAAGGGATTCACTAGTTCACAGAGCCAGGAAGGCTGGGGTAGCCCAGGGAAGAGTGGGAACCAAGGCCTCAAGACTTTCTCATTCCCATCTGCCCGGCTTCCTTCCCTCCCTTTACAAAACGGCTTTCTCCATGAGGCTGAGTCAAAGGCTACCTGCAACCCCAACCCTCCACTTTCACAACTCTCCATGAAGGGTGACAACATAGAACCATCCCTCTAAGTCCAATTGCAACAATTCTGGCAAAGGACTTTGGCCCAGCCTAAGCAACATAGTGGGATCCCGTCTCAAGAAAAAAAAAATTAGCCAGGTATGGTGGTGCATGCCTATAGCCCAAGCGACTACAGAAGTAAAGGCAGTAGGATTCCTTGAACCTGGGAGGTCAAGAGCCCATACTTGGTTCAGTTCATGTATGCCAAGGAATATGACACTGTCATTGGCCAGCCTGGGTCTAACTGTCATGGGGGAGGAATCTGGGGCACTGTGATTAATGACTCTACCAGGACCACATGAAGTAGAAGTAATTCCCCAAATGTAAAGGTGCTATTACCAGAAAAGAGGCAGACAGAAGCAAGCACTTTCACTGTTTACTGCCTGCTGCAAGCTTGGCTCAAGCAGGTCCTTCCCCACTCCCTAAAGCGTCACCAGTACAAGGCCATTTTGTGAGACAGAGCTGTCAGGAAGGTTGAGGACAGCAAAAAACAGTTACAGCACAGCGACAGCAAGCACAGCACTGTATAGATAGTCATTGAAAACAGAACATTTGATATTTCAAAGTTCCTAAGCCCAGTCCACCAGCCTCTCACTGGTGCTCTTCTGGGTCAGCTGACATTGTGCCTGCCCTCCCTTACCAAATCGTTCTCCTCCACCTCTCCTTTCTCCAAGTGCCCAAGGATCCTAAACGTCATCTTACCTGAATCTCCATGGGACAAATGCTATTTTATTGTGCACAGCCACTGAGTTCTTTTTTCCTCTTCTTCTAGACCTGTATTTCACAGCCCCCAAAACTATTAAGATGTTTTCCTAGGCTGGGCGTGGTGGCTCATGCCTATAATCCCAGCACTTTGGGAGGCTGAGATGGACAGGTCACCTGAGGTCAGAAGCTCAAGATCAGCCTGGCCAACACTGTGAAACCCCTTCTCTACTAAAAATACAAAAATTAGCCGGGTGTGGTGGCATGCGCCTATAATCCCAGCTACTGGGGAGGCTGAGGCAGGAGAATTGCATAAATCCGGGAGGTGGAGGTTGCAGTGAGCCGAGATTGAGCCATTACACTCCAGTCTGGGCAACAAGAGCAAACCTTCATCTCAAAAAAAAAAAAAAGGATGTTTTCCTGAACAAGACAACCAATTTTTTCCTTAGCAAGCATCCTTCCATCCTCTCAGAACAATAGTTCAGTCTGCTGCTAGCTTCTGAATTAAGTTTCTTCTCCCTGTTGCATGTGTATTTATGCATAGAAAACATGACTTCCCCCAATACCATATAGCATAATATTAAGACTAGTAAGATGTTACCTCTATGTAGTGGGATCATGGGTAATTTTTTACAGTGTTTTAAACATTTATTAATTTCATTAGGCAGGGGTTTCCCTCTCCCTAATTTTTGGAGCCCTATCATGTGTAATTTTTATGAGTTTTGTTGGTTTTATCATTTCTTTCTTTTCTTTTTTTGCTTATTTCTGTTTCTACAATGAACAAGTGAAAATGGTACAAGGCAAGAAAGGAGTAAAGAACAGAACCTGCTGCTTAAGTCCCTTTTATCAAGAAATGCAAAAGCCTTCCCCAAAGGCTTTTTGACCTCCAGCCTTCAGCCTGATCCTTATTGGATAGACTGTGTCACATGACCACACAGCCTCAAGGGAGAATGGAAAAGAGAGGATTTAGTGTTTCCAGCCCTTACAGTCTCATGAAAGAAACGTGACTACAGAGAAGGGGCTTGGGTATGATGATGGGTCCAGCTAACCAACAGTGTCTGCAACTGCACAGCTAGGATACAAGGTGGAGAGAGAGGGCACTGTGCAGTTTTTCTCAGTCTAGGGTGGTCATTATTGTTTTGGTGTATGACCCTAGGTATCCAAAAGAGACTCCTGACAATAAAACTTAGAGCTCTGTGTTCTTGTGAAGGCTTATCTCAGGCATCAAAGTAAACCTTACCCTGTCTGTTAGTACTTGGTAGCAGTAGCAATTATTATGATTATTTACAAAGTACTTTTTAAAAATTTAGTAGAATATTGCTATCCCTGTTTCACAGTTGAAAAAGCAAACTCAAGGAGATTATACTGGTAACATATTTGCATTTAAAAGTACACTGAACCCTCATTCCCTCCCATCACATGCCATTCAAGGACTCTAGACTACTGGGCAGAGGAACTGACCCTTTTACCATAAATGGGGCTTCTGGGTCCAAGCTAAAGGCACACTCTCTGCCCAGCTGGTTTTGTCCTGGCTTGTTCTTTTTTTTCTTTTTTTTTTTTTTTTACAGGGTCTCAATCTGTCATCCAGGCTGGAGTGCAGCAGCATGATCTCAGCTCGCTGCAGCCTCTGCCTCCCAGGCTCAAGCAATCCTCCCACCTCAGCCTCACGTGTAGTTGGACTACAGGCGCATGCCACCACTCTCCACTAATTTTTGTATTTTTAATGGAGGTGGGGTTTCACCATGTTGTCCAGGCTGGCCTTGAACTCCTGGGCTCAAGTGATCTGCTTGCCTCAGCCTCCCAAAGTGCTAGGATTACAAGCGTGAGCCACCACACCTGGCTGTTGCTCTGGATTGTTCTTGAATCATGTCTCTGGTGTGTTGGAAAGACTTCTGACCTGGATCTTAGACCTGGTTTAGTATTCCTCTCATTGCCTGACATGGACTAATCACCATACTCAGTCTGCTTTGTCCACAATTCAGTTCACCACTACTTAGGTTGCAGGAGAGGTTGCTAGATATGAGGCTGTTTTGCTCAGACCCTGGTGCACTATGTATTTGTTTTCAGAAGAAATGTTTTAAGATACAGGAAGAGGAAGCTCGCCCAGGGATGTTTAATAGGATCTTGTAAACATCTGTATTCTAAATAAATAATTGTTAGTGTTTCCACTTTAGGGTTCTTAATTTTAGAGAACCGGAAAGACTGTTCCTGAACTGGAGGTGAGTTCAGAAGTGTATACCAGTGTCACTCCAGGCTGGATTAGCAGATGTAGTTAGCAGCCTTTCCAATATCCATCTTTCCCTCTTCCTTACCAACAGAACCCTAATTTTGCTCAAGGCAGTACTATGCTCATTTACAAATGCCCCAATTCCCAGACTCCCTTGCAGCTAGGAGTGGCCATGTGACCCACTTTGACCAATGTGATGTAGGTGGAAGTTGCTAGGTGGGGGCTTCCAGGAAATCTTCTTAGAGAGGAAAGTCTTAGCTGGCATTTGCCCTATGCTTTCCCTCCCTCTTTCTTTTCATTTTGTTTGAAATGCAGATGCAGTGTACAGGTATCCATGAATACAAAAGCTGTGTACTAAAGATAGTAAAATGGGAAGATGGAATGACCCCAGCTCCTTGACAACATTAGGGAGCTACTCTAACAGCCCTAGATTACCTACCTGGTAATGTCTTACGTAAAAACAATCAAGAAAACAAAGAAACGGCTGGGTGTAGTGGCTCACACCTGTAATTCCAGCACTTTGAGAGGCTGAGGCGGGTGGATCACTTGAGGCCAGGAGTTTGAGACCAGCCTGGCCAACATGGCGAAAGCCCATCTGTACTAAAAATACAAAAATTAACTGGGTGTGGTGGTGCATACCTGTAAGCCCAGCTACTTAGCAGGCTAAGTCAGGAGAATCGCTTGAACCTGAGAGGCAGAGGTTGCAGTGAGCCAAGATCATACCACTGTACTCTAGCCTGGGCAACACAGTGAGACTCTGTCTCAAAAAAAAAAAAAAAAAGAAAGAAAGAAAGAAAAGAAAAGAGAACAAAGAAACAAGCCTATTTGCTTAATCCATTGTAATCAAGTTACTCTTCCATGCAATCAAACACAATCTTAACTGATAGACTGTTAAAATGGTGTCTTAGTCCGTTTGGCTGCTATAACAAAATATCTTAGACTGGGCAATTTGTAAACAACATACATTTACTGCTCGCAGTTCTGGAGGCTGGGAACTCCAAGATCAAGACACCAGCAGACCATGGTGAACCCTCAATCCGGTGAGGGTCCATTCCTCCCAGGTGCCTTCTATGTATCCTCACATGACAGAATGGCAAACAAGCTTGCTCAGGCCTCTTTTATAAGGCAGTAATCCCATTCATGAGGGTGGGGCCCTCATAACCTAGTCAGCTCCCAAAAGCCTCACCTCCTAATATCATCACCTTAGGGATTAAGTTTCAACATATGAATTTTGTCAGGGGTGGGGGATGGGGGTGGGCGGGGGGACAGGACACATTCAGGCCATAGCAGACATCTAGTGTGCTATGATAGTAAATGGATGCAAATTGACTGTAGAGTTTGTTAGAACAGTGCTGCTCCAACTTCCATGTGCATATAAACCACTTGAGAGCCTTGTTAAAAATGAAGGTTCTGATTCACTGGGTCTGGAATGGGGTTTGAGATTCTGCATTTTTCACCAGCTTAAAGCTAATGCTGATGAGGCTGGTCTTGGACCACACTTTGAGTAGCAAGAATTTAGAAAATGGCAACTCTTCTGGTCAGTCAGCCCATACCATATAGGAGCCACTTTGTTTCTCTTTGATATGTTTCTTATTTGGTTGAAAACCTGCAGAGAACTCACTCAGTGCATCTTCAACAAAAAGTTAAGGTTTTATTTAGAATATCATTTTAGAGACAAAAAGTAGTTCACTTTATTTAGCAAAATAAACTTAACCAATGCATTTAAATACAGTGAATTCAAGACCTTTGGTGGTTTTTTTTCTTAGATCCTTGCTTTTTTGCCAGTTGGAGTTTCTGTCTTCCAGCCTAACAGGCTTTTTTCCAAGTTAATGCAGCTATATTCCAAGGAAGTGTTTTATGAAATCTGAATACTCAAACACCCCTTCTGTATTCTAACTCAACCATCATTGTATTAGATGAAACATAAGGAAAGTGACTTAGGGAAGTAAGTGCAGAAGGAAATGTGTTCCCTTCTCCCTCATATTATCTTTTCAACAGAGGCCTGGATTGCCAAATGGATTATGAAAGCAAATTGTTACTGGGAAGTGATGGTCAAAAGCAAACTTAGATGGTTTTCACACCATCTGTCATCATGACTCAAGGGGAAATGCAAACCACACCATTTTTCCAGTGAAGCCACTGCTTTACACAGAAGATACATGTAGCTTCCTATTGTTATTTTCTTTTCTAACTATGTACATTTAGAAAAAAATACAACACTGTTAAATAGCAGGACAGCTAGCAACGGAACATACAACACTATGCTGAAAAACCACAATAGCTTGGTTAAGCAGAGGAGAGAAACAGCAGATGGCCTTCATGGAGTGAAGCTGTCAGTGCCTGCCATCTCCTTAGTCCGTGACGGATCTGCACTCTGAGGGCAGGCCTTCTGAGCGCCGCCACTTTGCCAGGCGCTGCTTAAACCATTTCTGGAAGAGAGAAATGAGCAAAAATATTTGTCACACACAGAAAAACTGAAATGCCTGTTCCCTTTCTAAAAGGTAGCCTCTGTGGCACAAGTGGAAAGGAGAGAATCACGGGACGTGTCCATAGGGATAGCTCTCACCGTGACACCTTTCCTGCCTCAGGACCTCTGCACATGCTATATTATGTTTAGAATGTTCTCTCTTTATTCTTTATCTGATGATCTCCCTGTCATCCTCACATCTCAGCTTAAACAGGACCTTCTCAATGAAGTCTGCCCTGATCACTCTGTCTAAAGTGGGTTTCCCACGCATCTCCTCACTTCCCAATTTAGTATTTTGTTACTTTCACAGAACTTTTAGCATCTGTCATGATTTACTTGTGTATTCACTTATTTTTAATCTACATTCCCTTCTAGAATGTAAGCTCCATGAAAGCAGAGACTGTATTCATCCTATCACCACTGCATCCTTAGCCCCTAGTACAAAGGTTTAAGAGTTAGAAATTAATCAATATTTGCTGAATAAATAAAAGAAGTTAAAGCATATCCTTAATGCCCCAGATAGATCTCTATGGCTGCTATATTTCATCAATGTATGCTCAGCTCGCCAAAGGCCTTCCTCATTGGTAGAAGTTAGTAAGAATTTGTTGAATAAGATTAATAGTTAACTGAGCACTGCACAACCTCAGAGCACTCCTTGCGGATGCCTGGAGTAGGCCAGCCCAATCTGTCCTGCTCCAGGGCCACCGAGCAGTGAGAGAAGCTGAAGTGGGTCTACCACTTTGCTCAGAATCTCTCAGCTCCGTATGACCCAAATATTCACACCTTACAGAAGTGACCATGGATGTACAGAAGGCCCCAGATAGGATGTTTCTAGACATGGCATCATATGAGGCCTAGAACATGCCTATATGTTGTAAGGCAGTGTGGTATACTCTTGAGAAGTCAGTGGCTGCCTTTATCTTGCTAACTGGGGTGGTACAGAGTTCCCCAAAGAGGAGAACAGGAGAACCATGCTGGGGATAGGGCCAGGGTCTGGACCAGATTGGTCAAGAGGAAACTGGGAATAAAAAAAAGAAAGCAAAACAACTTTGAAGAGAGACTAGTGAGGAAACAGATGAGCAAGCATTGACCTACATTGGAAAGGATGAGGAGAGAGCTCTATGGGAAGTCAGCACCTCCCCCAAGCTCTGTTCTCCTGTGCTTCCCAACCATTCACATGTCATGGAGTACATTGAGAAGGATGATATTTGTGTGTCAGTGGTGTGTAGGCAGGCTGTGTGGTAGGTGACCCCCCAGGGATCTGCAGTCCTGGGCTCTGCCAACAGGAAGCTCTAGAGTAACTAATTGGCTATGAGAACTTGAGGAAGTCCCTAAATAGAGCACCAGTCATCTGTAAATTAAAAGGTAAGCTTAGGGTGTTTCTACTGTCCCTTCTGGTATTTCTATAATTCACCTGTTCTAGGGGTAAGGGGACGAGAAACAGGAAGAAAGCAGAAAGAGCACAGCTGTGAGATGCCAGATCTGGGATGTGCTGATGGAGATATCAGGATGGTGGGAAAGCTCTAGAGGGCTCCCCACATAGCATGGGCTGATGCCTATCCAGATACTCAGAATGAACAGGATAGGCTCTAGGAAGCTGAAAGGGAATTCAGTATAAGCCCAAGATCAGAAGAAAATGTGAGAACCACAGGGGGAGAAGGAGCAAGGCCTAGAGGAGAGGCTGTTGAACTTGAATGGGGGATAAGGCTCTGCAGGACTGTTTTGGGCTCCACATCAATGCTAAGCTGGCTGAACAGCATGGGAATACACCTACACCTCACCCACCTGTACAGCAGAGTTTACACACTGAAATGCCTCACATAGTTGTCAAGATCTTACATACCTTTACACTGGGGTGACAGTAGAGAAAAGTAATCTAAAGACAAGGACAGCAGAGTTTACACACTGAAATGCCTCACACAGTTGTCAAGATCTTACATAGCTTTACACTGGGGTGGCAGTAGAGAAAAGTAATCTAAAGACAAGGACAGCAGACTATCATGGGGAAAGACTTCTCTTTGGGGGCTACTTTTTGGGTGCCATATTTTGCTCCTAGGGATCACTACCCTTCATGAGAAGAGAGAACTCATGCAACTTTGGCAGCTTCAATTGAAATTATACTGCTAAGAGTGGGCCCATTTTCTTCTGTAACCTGTGTGCATGTGTTTAGTTAACTCTGGATTCTGGTATGAGAGCAGCAAGGTTCCAGTTTCATTAATGAGGTAGCACTGTGGGGGGTTTCAAGGATACAAGGTCTGATTAAATAGGATTTCCAGTTACTAGAGCTGAATAAATGGCAGCATTGTAAAGACTGACTAATTAAAATCTGGAGGAGGAAAATCTCACTTTCTATCAGATTTCATTTAAGACAAAATGGTTGAGCTGGTCTCATTTAAAAGAGCCACCCACGTCTTTACACTATGTAATGAAGCAGAATATTGATGGACCGTTACTGAAAATAACTTCAGCAGGGACATTTGTGGTTTTGTGAGTTGGTACCCAAATGCTTAACAAATTGAGCCCTAACATTGGGGATGGGAGGAGGTTCAAGAAAAGCTCAATGATTTTTTGAAGACGCATATTTTAAATCAAGTATATATAAAATAATTTGGCAAAACCAGTTGCAATCCAACAGAAATCATTAAATACCTTGCTTGCTTTTTTCCCTTTAGAGTTGTGTCTTATCAATCTCACTCACATCAGTGCTAATTTTCCACCTGGCTTTATCCTTCTCTTCTTTGTTTCAGTCATCCACTGGGAAAGACATTCATCCCTTGCTTGCTTATAAATGAATGTCCTCATTACCCTTGCCCATTGATGGAGATTTATTTACTCTGAGTAAACAGATGATAATTAGACACTGTGATGGGAAGGGGCTGGGGCAAAGAAACATTGTTCCTGTCCTTTTCTCTAGCAACTAACATTTCATTCTTTTCAGAAAGAGACCTTTAGAGGTCTTTATTCCACTGATAAAACATCCAGTGACTAAAACCACTGGGTTCTGGGAACAAGCTCAGGACATCTAGAGGAGATAAAAATACTTGGAGACCTCCCTAAGAACCAATTCCAGTTACATTGTGCTTGAATTGAAGAGAGAGAGAGAGAGAGAGAAAGAGAGAGAGAGAGTGTGTGTGTGTGATAATAGAAAACACCAGATCATCCCAACCTCCCAGGGGGCTAAGGAAGGAGCTTTCCCAGCCTCTTCTAACACTGACTTCAAAATAAAAGACATAAGGCTGGGATTCTGTAAGTTTTCAGGTAATGTAAATCTAGGAGATATTTAGATTACCGTTATGAGAAAAACCCATTCTAACATCCCAGTAAATGCAACTTAGAAAGTTATTTCAATTACAGCGCCCTTCACTTTACTTTGAGTTCTTATGGGTGCCACCTCCACCCCCACAGAGAATTTTGTCCTGAAGTGGGACAGTTATAAAGAGGTCAGCAAATCTCCCAAGACAGAGAATGTTTCAACTTCTTAGTCCCTCTTGTCCCTGCCCAAGTATCAGCCCTGTGAATCAGTTCTGGTAACAATCTTGCAAGAGCACTGGGCAGCTCAGGCTTATTTTTCTTGTACTGAAGTATTGCTTGTTCTAGGAAAGTTAAGAATATGATTCCATTTCTGGAGGTGGGTGGTGTTGGGGTGGGTTGAGGACTCAGGCATATGAAACAAATGTTAGTTTGGCTTTGGTGACCCTTTCCCATGGAAAGCAGCAACACTAGTAAGAACAGAGACGGGGAGACTGGGTGCGATGGCTCACGCTTGCAATCCCAGCACTTTGGGAGACTAAGGCAAGAGGATTACTTGAGCCCAAGAGTTTGAAACCAGCTCAGGCAACATAGTGAGACCCCCATCTCTACAAAAAATTTAAAAATTAGCTTAAAAATTAGCCACATGTGGTGGTAGTACATGCCCATAGTCCCAGCTACTTTGGAGGCTGAGGTAGAAGGAATGCCTGAGGCTGGGAAGCCAAGACTGAGGTGAGCCATGGGAGTGCCACTGTACTCCAGCCTGAATGACAGAGTGAGACACTGTCTCCAAAAATAGAAAAAGGAAAGAAAAACAAAGAAAGAAAGAAAGAAAGAAAGAAAGAAAGAAAGAAAGAAAGAAAGAAAGGGAAAGAAAGAAAACAAAACAGGGGAAGTATCAATATCAGACACTACTTATATGTAGACCCAGCAGGCCCTGGCCTCCATGGAGTTATTTAAAGGGTCCTTACGAGACCTGCTATAAACAAAAATAATTTTAATGACTGAAAGTTCATCATTGGGCATACGTCTCCAGAAGACACTTCCTTTTTGTAATATTTTTAAATATTTAATATTTTTATTTTTATTTACTTATTTATTTTGAGACAGGTTCTCCTTCTGTCACCCAGGCTAGGTAGTACAGTGGCATGATCATAGTTCACCGCAGCCTTGAACTCCTGGGCTCAAGGGATTCTCTTGCCTTAGCCTCCAGAGTAACTGGGATTACAGGCACACACCAGCACACCTGGCTGATTTTTTAATTTTCTATTTATTTTTTTTTTGGTGGAGATGGGCAGCATCTTGTCATGTTGCCCAGGCTGGTCTGAAACTCCTAGCCTCAAGCAATCTTCCTGCCTCAGCCTCTCAAAGTGCTGGGATTATAGGTGTGAGCTACTGTGCCCAGCCAGACACTTCCTTTTTCATAGAAGATACTCTTTAAAAATATAAATGTTGTTTGAGAAGATGAAAGAAGAAATCATTCTCATTCACCAGTGCCCATGGGGGTAGTGGGGTGAGAGGGGAAAGAATGGGAAATTGAAAGATGAGACCCAATCCAGTAAAGGCAAGCAGGCAGCCTGTGGTTCCTAGGAAATCTCTTTCTCTGAGCTTGCTAAGTGCTGCCTGTCTCTAAGCTCTGGGGTTCCAGATGCTTCCCTGCAGGTCAAGGCAGGAAGACAGAGGGGCAAGCCAAGCTGTGGTCACCGTAGGGAGGAAGAAGGTGTCGGTCCTGTGGCAGGAAGAGGAAGCCAGGGGCCCTGCTAAGAGGCTGACTCACCCCACATCTACTCATTTTGGGGCTGGGTCTACCACTTGTTTATTTGAGAATGGCAGAAGGGGGGAAATGGGAGGACTGCCTGCGAGGTGCAGAAGAACCTGCTATGCAGAGGTCTGAATTGGCTGACCTCAGTCACAGAAAAAAAGCAGGTGCCCTTTTCTTCTTCCTACCCCTAACCAGATTTTATTTCAATTTTCTAATATCATGTGAATCTTGAGGAAAGGCTGAATATAGCCTGGGAGGACTGTTGCCTAATGCAGGGGAAAGATAACACCAAGTGAGTTGTCAGTTCTTTCTTCCTGCTCGTCTAGTGATTTCCATGCCTCCTCTGTGGAGACAGCATAGCATGGTAGTTAAGAGTCTGGGCTTCCAGGGTTCAAATCCTGGTCCTGCTGCCTTCTAGCTGCTGTCTTGGGCAAGTATATTTAATCTTTCTGTGCCTCAGTTGCCTTATCCGGACAAGTGGGCTAATAGTATCTACCCTCACAGTATTGTTGTGACAAATAAATGATTTACTACTTGGACAGTGCCTGGAAAAATGCCTGGCAAGTATTAGCCATTACAAAGGTCAATGTAATTATGCTGCTTTATAGGTAAGGTGACTGATGGCAACTCGCCAGGCACAATCAGAGGCCGAGAAGGGGTTGGACCTCTTGTTGGTGCTGTGCCCACAATATTTCACAGCCTTGTTTTTAAAAGATAAGTTGTCTTCATGATCACTCCTCTTTTCTAAGCATAGCGTGGGATTTCAAATGATAAAATTTCAGCAGGCTGCCTTCTCAGGAGATACCAAGAAACATGAGCTGTTAGACTTGGGTTACAGTAAATCACCTTCCATTAAGTTCTGGTTTTCGTTGGTCAGACAGCTGGTCCATTTGCTAAAAATAAATATGTTTGCCTTTCTATTTGACCTGTAAATGACAGGATCGTCTATGGACAAGCTCTCCAAAGAGTGCCTCTGGCTTAATTAGTAAAAATAATTTTGGACTTGAGGTCCAGGGTCTTGGTCCTAGGATCTACTGGATCCATTACAAGCTTCTAAACCTCAACTGAGCATGGCTCATGGTGACAGGACAAGTGCCTGATGCTCTGGTATATAAAATAGGAAAAATAAGAACGTCTCTGCTTTAGAGTTGAGGTTAGAAGTGTGAAGTGCTTTGGGGACCCACAGGAGAGATGCTAGATTGGTTCCAAGTAGTCTATCATGCTTAAAGAATTGTCTTTCCATTACCAAAGGGAAAAGAGAAGTTGGAGTTTAGACAGGATTTTAAAAGTCAGCTAAAGGCTCCAACATTACACCTGTGGTGAACAACCACAGGTAGTGTTGCATTCTTTACCTGGCATTTTTCGGGATGATATAGGAGCATTTAAAAAATAGATAAGTCAATGAATGCACTTGGGGGGACTGCCGCTCCTGTCAGCTGAAAGATCAGCTATCTACCGTCTTATAAAACGCCCCGAAAATCCTCTAAACCTTAGAGCTGGGGAATTTTTTAAAAAATCGGAACCACATCTCCCTGGCTCCGTGCAGTGTGAGTTCTGCAGCTCGGGGGACGCTGCAGTGTGATGTGGTGGAGAGAGCAAGCTTCACGGCTCCTGCCATCCTGACAGCGCCCTCCCTCCCGGCCTCAGCCTCCTGGTTCGCCAAACGGAGGACTGAATTTATGGCTAGCTGGTCTCTGGGGAGCCTTCCAGCTCTGACATTCCCGCCTAGAATAGATCTTCCCGAAGGTTTCGCAGACAGACCAGAGGGGACAGAGCCGGGAAGGCGAAACAGGGACAGGCGAGAGACGCTGCTCCCAACTCGCAGAGGGAGAAAGCGTGTATCCCGGGCTGCCGGGGAGAGTGGAAAGGCAAGGACTGGTGACCACGGGGTTTCTACGCAGCTCCCGGGGAACCACGACTGGATGGGGGTGGCGGGGAGACTGGGCGCCCATGGGAACGTGGAAGCGGGGAGGTGGCGGCGGGAGCCATGCAGGGTCTGGGCCCCCGGATGCGGGCAGAAGCGATGGGAGATCGTGGGGAGGGCAGCCCAGCGGGAGGCACGGACGACCAGGACAGCCCAGCCGCGAGACGGCTCAGCTCGGGCAGGGGTCGGAGCGCGCTGGGCGCGTGTGGGGACGCACCTGGGTCTCCTCCTCGGAAAGGCCGGCCTCGGCCGCGATGAGGCACAGCGTGGTGGAATCCGGGTGCTTGTCGACCTTGTTGAAGTTGTACTCCAGGATCTCCACCTGGTCCTCCGTGGGGCCGGTCGCGGTCTCCGCCGACATGGTCCTGGCGCGCTGCTGGGCGGGGAGAAGCGGCAGCGGTGAGCGAGGCTGGGGGCCGGCGGGACGCAGCAAAGGAAGGCGGTCGCGGCGCCGCCGGGCAGCGCCAGCCCCTGGCCGCCCCCTCCCGCGGTGCCACGGCCGCGCAAGTCCCCGGCGGCAGCAGGCTGAGCGGGGGCTTACGGCTGCCCCCGACCCGGGCCTCCCTCCCCGGACGAAACGCTGTTGCGGGCTGACAGCAGACCCTGGCGTCCGGCGCCTCCCGCGCCCCGGGGGACCCCTTGCAGCAACGCCCCCTGGATCCCTGCCTGCGACGGGGGCAAGATAGATGACTCCGCGGGTCCTCACTGCCCTCCGGCTCTAAGG